CTTATCCACTTCAAGAACACAAGATCACGCTCACAAGCTCTCAAATGTACTCACAAGCCATAAGAACGATGATTTAGGGTTATGAGGGTTTGGTGTCTGGGAATGGTGGCCATGAATGAGGCTATCATATCCTTTATATAGAGGACTCACCAACAATTAGGGTTTTCATTCTCGGCCTAGTACGCTCAGCGTACCCTTTGGTATGCCTAGCGTACTAGGTGGTCTCTGCGTCAAATGCATGCATATGAGTACGCTGAGCGTACTCTCTAGTACGCCCCGTGTACTCATTTACCACCTTTTTCCAAAAAGGGCCAAAATGGACAAATGCTCAAAAGATCAAGGTTTGAAAGGTATACCTGGACTTGGGATGTTACAATTCTCACCCACTAGAATCCGACTTCGCCCTCGAATTCATGCTCCGCAAATAAGTCTGGATAATGCTCCCGCATCTCCGACTCCGGCTCCCAAGTCGACTCGGACCCTTTCTAATGCTGCCACTGGACCTAAACCAGGGGCACTTCCTTGTTTTTCAGAACCTTCACCTTTTGATCTAAAATCGCGATCGGTCTCTTAATGTAATTCAGACTCGCATCCACCTAAATGTCCTCTAGGGGTACCACTGCCGTCTCATCAGCTACACACTTCCTTAACTGAGATACATGGAAGGTGTTATGAACCTGACTCAACTCCGCCGGTAGCTGCAACCGGTAGGCTACTCTTCCTACTCTGGCAGTCACTTTGAAAGGACCAATGTATCGGGCCCCCTACTTTCCTTGTTTTCTGAATCGGACCCATGAGGATACCTTCAGGAGGACAAAATATCCGACCTGGAATTCTAGCTCGGATCGTCGCCTGTTTGCATAACTCTTCTGGCAACTCTGGGCCATCAGTAATCTCTATCTAGCATGCTGAATCTGCTCAGTCGTCTTTAGCACTATCTTAGTGCCACCCATCACTCTATGTCCTACCTCTCCCCAACAAATAGGAGTCCGACACCTCCTCCCATATAATAGCTCAAAGGGAGGCATACCAATACTTGAATGGTGGCTTTTGTTATAGGAAAACTCAGCTAGGGGTAAGTAAGTGTCCCAACTTCCTTCGAAGTCCATGACACAGGCACGCATCATGTCCTCAAGCGTCTGAATCGTCCGCTCGCTCTGCCCGCCCGTCTATGGGTGGTACGCAGTACTAAAATGCAATCGCGTTCCCAACTCCTCATGAAGTTTCTTTTTAGAATCTGGAAGTAAAGCGTACGTCTCAGTCTGACACTATCGAAATCAGCACTCTATGCTGAGATACCACCTCTCTCACATAAATCTCGGCCAATCTATCTGCAGAAGAGCTCTCACTAATATCAAGGAAGTGAGCACTCTTCGTCAGTCGGTCCACAATCACCCAAATTGCGTCAACTCCACATGTAGTCCTCCGTAGCTTGGTGATAAAGTCCATAAAGATCTGTTCCCACTTCCACTGGGTAATCTCCAGAGGCTGCAATGGACCATGCGGATGCTGGTGCTCTACCTTGACCCGACGGCAGGTCAAGCACCTCTCAACCACCCAAGCAACATCCCGCTTCATACAGGGCCACCGGTAATCTCTCTTCAGGTCCAAATACATCTTAGTAGCCCCAGGATGAATCAAGAATCTCGATCTATGCGCCTCCTCCATCTGTATATGTCGAGCTCTGCTCGTAAAGGGCACCCAAATCCACCCTCGGAAAGTCATAAGCCCTCGGCTATCCGTCACAAACTTGGACACCTGTCCAATCACCCGCTATCTCATGCAGTTCTGCGGTCTCAAGGCCTCCACCTGAGCCTCTCGAATGGTATCTAGGACTGGAGTCATCACCGTCATCCTCATACACATATCTCAGATCGGAGCAATCTCTGCTCTACGGCTCAGGGCGTCGGCTACCACATTAGCCTTGCCCGGATGATACAGGATCTCACAGTCATAGTCTTTCACCACATCCAACCATCTCCTTTGTCTCATGTTTAGGTTAGGCTGATCCATGAGATACTTCAGGCTTTTTTGATTTGTGTATATGGTACACCGGACCCCGTAAAAGTAATGGTGCCAGATCTTGAGGGCGAATACCACCGCCCCAAGCTCTAGATCGTGGGTGGGATATCTCGCCTCATGAGGCTTCAACTGCCTCGATGCAAATGCTATCACGTGCCCTCTCTACATCAACACTGCACCCAACCCTGATATAGATGAATCACAGAAAACCACAAAGTCCTCCACTCCCTCAGGAAGGGCTAACACCAAGGCATCGTAGAATCTCTGGCGAAGAGTCTCAAATGAGATTTGCTTATCGGGACCCCAAGTAAAAGTAATGCCTTTCTAGGTTAACCTTGTGAGGGGGACGACAATCTTGGAGAAATCTCTGATAAATCTCCGATAATAGCCGGCCAATCCAAGAAAACTCCTGATCTCGGATGGGGATCTCGGCACCTCCCATCGCATAACTGCCTCAATCTTGGCTGGGTCGACCAATATCCCATTCCGATTAACGAGATTACCTAGGAACTGGACCTCAGTAACCAGAATTCACACTTGGAGAATTTGGCATACAACCTCTCCGATCTCAAAACTCCAAGAATATCTCTCATATGCTCCTCGTGCTACTATTTGGATGTCGAATACACCAAGATATCATCAATGAACACGATCACCGATCGATCCAACATAGGCCTGCACACCCCGTTCATGAGATCTATGAATGCTGCCAGTGCGTTGTTGAGCCTAAAAGGCATCACCACGAAATTGTATTTCCCATAACGAGTCTTAAAGGCCGTCTTTTGGATATCCTCCTCACAGACTCTCATCTGATGATATCTAGACCTCAAATCGATCTTGAAAAACCAAGACGCGCCCTGCAACTGGTCGAACAAATTGTTAATCCTCGAAAGTGGGTAACGGTTCTCGACTGTCAGCTTGTTCAACTCCTGGTAATCAATGCACATCCGGTGTGAACCATCCTTTTTCTTAACAAAAAGGATCAGCGCTCCCCACGGCGAGCTACTCGGTCTGATAAATCCCTTCCCAAGCAGCTCCTGGAGCTGCGAGGATAACTCTTGCATCTCTAGTGGCGCAAGGCGATAAGGTGCCTTGGCGATAGGTGCCGCTCCCGGAATCAAATCAATCCGGAACTCCACTTGCCTCTCGGGAGGCATACCTGGTAACTCCTCGGGGAAAACATCCGGGAACTCACTCACTATTGGAACCTCGGTGATAGAACTCGGTCTCCCAGCAGGAACCCGCATATCCATCACATACGCTAGAAAACACATACAATCTTGCTGCAAACTCTGCCACGCCCTGGCAGCAGAGCAGAAAGTTGACCCATATCTGGTACCCTCGCCATATACTGTAAGCACTCCCCCACTAGGGTCTCTAATAGTCACCAACTGACGCTCGCAATCAATCACTGCTCCAAATCGGCTTAACCAATTCATGCCCACGATGACACATACATCAACCATCGTAATTAGTACCAGATCAATCGGAAACTCGACACCAAAAATCTCCAGCACAGATCTTCGGAACACACCAGTAGCGAAAACGACATGCTCGTCGGCTATAGAAACTCTTAGAGGTCGACTCAACGACTCACGGCGGATACTGATGTGGCGACTAAACACTAATGATACGAAGGATCGACTCGCACCTGAGTCAAATAACACCAAGGCAGGTACATAACTCACAAGAAAAGTACCTACGCATATCACAATATAAGCACACATAACTCAAAATAGAATAAATAAAGGAATACATACCTGCCACGATATCAGGTGCCGCACGGACCTCCTCCGCTATCAGCTGGAAGGCTCTCTCATGAACCTTCGACGCCTTGGCCTTCACGAGCCGACTCTCGGTAGCTCGTATAGCAGCGGGTGCAGATCCCTACGCTGATCCCTGTAGCAGCTGGGGGTTTCCTTGATACACATTGCGCGTCGTAAATGCGAGTCTTAAATTCGTGTCATAAATGCACGTCGTAAATGCGTGTCGTCTATTGACGACGCGCAAAAGTGTGTCGCCTCTCGTTATGATAGGGCCATCCTTGACACGCATTTGCGTGTCTTCTGAGGGTTTTACGACACACATTGCACGTCGTAAAAGATTGTTTTTCTAGTAGTGTCGGTGGCGGTATTTTGGTAGTAGGACCAATTTTTTGGCCAATTTCTAGCAGACAACAACAAATTTAAGCAAGGGACAGAAACAATCTGAAACCAACAACGAGTATGTCACATGGAGAGAAGATAAAGAATAAGAAAAATAGAAAAGAAGGGGTTGTTGCCGGAGTGGTGACTGAGAGAAAAGAGTTCACAGAATAGGAAAAATGAGCTGAAGGGGGTTATATCTACGAAGGGTATTAGCGGCGACACCCTTGGGGGGAAATTTTGATGGTCATTTGAGTATTATCGGAGACACCTTTGGGGGAAACTTTGGCGGTCAAAATTTTCGAGTATTAGCGGCGACACCGTCGCCGCTATTGGTATGTACGGTATCGATTTTCAGTCCTTCGATTAGGGACAAAATGATCAACGGATAAGGTTTCACCTCATATTTCGACATAGATCGGGGTCGATAGGCATTAGCAGCGACAACCACTTTTAGCGACGACACATAACACAAAAGTTACGTGTCGCCGCTGATGCCTTTCATTCTGGTAGTGATAAGCTAATCATGGAAGTCTATATTAAGTTAACAAGTTATTATCAATTTATGCTCTTATATTCTAAAGGTATTGTCCAAATTCTAAAGTTATTTTTGAGTCATCTATTATACTGCCAATACTCCCTTTGACGAAAAATAAATGGATTAAATGCCTCACCTCATACGCTACTTTGTCCCTAACCAGTTAATAGCCAGGGGTTGCCCGTGCTACCCCTCAATTTTTTTTTTTCTGAAATGTAATTTTTTTTTGAAAAGATATGTTACACGGCACAGGTTATGTTCAAGGTAACGAATTATAGTTTCAAAAGGAGGTTGAGATGATAACCAAAGTGGTACATAGGAATCTACTCCAGCTGCAAGGGTTTTGCATGAGACAAACTGAACGGTTGATTGTGTATCCCTATACGGTCAATGGCAGTGTTGCATCCTGTCTACATGGTATTTTCAAATACACGGTTTTCTGATTTTAAATAGAAGAATCGGTTACAACTTGTCATATTACCTAACAAACTAATTGATAAATTATTGTAGATCGACCTGATACACAACCTGCACTTTATTGGTCGACAAGGAAACGAATAGCACTGGGATCCGCAAGGGGCCTTGCTTTTTTGCATGACCATTGTGACCCAAAGATCATTCATCGTTATGTGAAAGCCTCAAGTATCTTGTTCGATGAGGAGTTTGTAGCTGTTATCGGAGACTTTGGGTTGGCTAAACTCATGGACTACAATGATACTCATGTTACAACACACGCCCGTGGTTTTATTGGACACATAGCGCTAAAGTATACATCCACTGGGAGATCTTAAAAAAAAAACCGATGTTTTTGGGTATGGTGTTATGCTTCTGGAACTCATCACCAGGCAACGGGCCTATGATCGTGCTCGCCTTGACAATCATAACGAGATCCTGTTGCTTGATTTGGTAAGCATGTTAACAAGCCTTGGATCTAGTTCGATCATATCATCTTTATTTAAGGCATAAGTTTGTGTTTTTTGGATAGATGATTGAGTTTGAAATTGTGTAGGTGAAAAGACTATTGAAGGATAAGAATCTGAAGACATTGGTCGATACAGAATTAGAAGGTAACTACATGGAGGATGAAGTGGAAAAGTTGATACAGATAGCTGTATTGTGCACACAAGTCAAACCAATGGAGCGACCCAAGATATCGAAAGTTGTGAAAATGCTTGAAGGTGATGGGTTAGCGGAGAGGTGGAAGGAGTGGCACAAAGAGGAGATTTTGCAACACAAAGACATCTACACTCACAATCTGAATATCGATTGTGTTATTGTGGATTCAAATTATAACCTTAGCAATGATCAATTGTCTGGTGCTAGATGATTGCATTCGTGTTTAGTAGTGGTTTGTTGGAATCAATTCGATTGATTCTTTCGGAATGGATTATTGAGGAATCAATTTACTTGATTCTATGAAAGTGTGTCATAAAACAAAGAAGGAAACTGAATAGGGAAATCAGAACAAGGCTCAATTCACTGTGCAAAAAAGAAGAAAAATGAAACAGAGGAGAACCAAAATAGGGGAGAAACAAGAAATCCGGAAAATTTACTTAGGCTGCAAGTTTTATTGATTCAAAGCTTTAAAACTAATACTAAATACATCAAAACGTTACCCTATTTATACTAGACAAGATAGAATCCAATTCCTAAACTAACTCAAAAAACTTTAAAAAAGAAACTTTCCAAAAATGCCCCTGGGTTTAATGTTAGAACTGTCCCAACTTTTCAGGATTATCCCAACATTTTCCCCTTAATCCCAAAACTTTGCGTCATCTTCATTTTTTCAAAGTTGACTTTTCCCATTGATTTACTCAACCTTTCTTTCTTTCCATTCATATTTCTTTTGATATAAACTAGACCATAACTTGTTGCACCTTTAATACACCACAAAGTGTGCTTTTTAGTCTGTACAAAATTCTTGGTCTTCTTCACATCTATAGGAATGTTTCTAGGGATAAAAATAGACATTCTATCACATTTTGTCAAATTGCCAACCGATAAGGGAGTGATATCAGCAGGGGAGAGGAATCAGGATTATAGAATAACGGGGGAATATATTCATGGACTATGAAAACACAATCTTTGCCATATTGTTGTTTCATTTAGTTAACCATGATATGATAATTGTATATGACCTAACTCGATGGTGAGTTGGATACGTTAAAACCGAATGTCGTTTTCTGGGATAACGAATCAAAGAATCTAACTTTACATCTTTTAAATATGAAATATCATTTTTTTAGATTCAATATTAGCTATTCGATGTTACTATTATTTTTCAGGTCGTGAGGGTGTATTATGACCATTTTCCTTGATATTATTAGTAACAAAACTCATTTGTGGGTAATGAACATGGTCTTTTCGTTTTAAAAAATAATCCATAGTTCTTTTTTGGCTCATAGTTTACCTAGGATTATGAAACACACACACATACACACACACACACACACACACATATATATATATATATATATATATATATATATATATATATATAATACCTAAAATTTGAAACCAAAAATTTCATTTTTAAATTATCCAAAATATTTTTCATAAACCAAATCATCGGAAAAACACAATTATCAATACAAATCATCATCAAAAAATATCTGAGTGCCACAAAATACCAGTAACAAATCACCCAACGAGTGTGTACAATCAGACCTTCGTCTTCCCGCGATCCTCAGAACCTTGAAACACATATAATCAACAACTGTAAGCACGAAGCTTAGTGATTTCCCCAAGATATCTCATACAACACAACACATAAATAGCTATGGGTTATCAGCAACCTTGGAGAATATACAAAGTCTCAGTAGGCAAACAACACACCTTGTGGGTTATCAGCAACCCTAGAGACTGATGGGTTTTAGGCATATAACAAAATAAATTTAAACTCTTAAGTGTACATGCAACCTAAAACAATATCTATGTTTTCACTATTGAACCTATAACTATGAACATCAAAATAAGAACCCAAAAACCCTAGGTTATTTTCGAAAACAATATAAAAGGGTTTAGGATTACACACCGTATTGTTATTATAACAAATAACAACGATCCTTATTTTGTTGAAGCTTTGGAAGCAAGCACCACAAGCATCATGCCTTTAATGGTTCACACCCAAGCTAGCAAGAAGGATATTAAGAAGAGAGGGGGAAGGAGAGTATAATTTCGGCCAACCCTAGAGGAAGAAGAGATGGCCGAAAGATAAAGGCTAGGGGGCCTTTATATAGTGCAAGTAGGAAACCCTAGATAAGTCGAAAACCAATATAATAATATTATCTTGAATTGGTAATTATCTAGCTTCCTAATTATCCTCTAAGGATAATTCTTGAAACCCTAAAATGCCTCTAGAAACCGTCCACGCTATGTGTGGAAGGTTCTGGAGCTTTTTGCTCAACTATTGAACAATTCCACTTTAGTCCCTGTACTTTTGATTAATTCCTTTAATCACAAAATTAATTCCAATTAATTTATAATTAATTATCAATTAAATAGTACTATTTACATCTAATATATTATTCTAATAATTTATTAATAAATTATTTATTTCAGTTTATTAATCAAATAATAAATCAACCTCTTTCTCCAAAAATCATCTTGTCCAGTTGTTATGTTTGAGGGCAACCCAAAAGGACTGTGCTACTATGTCACACCCCCGAACCGGACGACGGAAACGTCCGAGGGCTCTTGTGACTTAAATTGAATACCATCACAATGATTCTACATGAATCATAACATCATTCATCACCACGCATTGAAATATTACAACTGATATTGTTCATTCAGTACATTGTTTTAAACATTACAATTTGTAACACCGTAAATTTCAAAACAAATTTCGAATTTTATAAAAACATAATTCACTTAATATTCATAAAAAAACCCATGTTTGAAATTCAATCCTAGTCATACAAAATCCCAAGATCTCATAATCGTAAAATCCCATGCGTGTGTACTGATCAAGCCGGCGCCTTCCCACGGTCGTCACTAGTACTTGAAACAAATAACACCAAACACTGTAAGCACAAAGCTTAGTGAGCTCCCCAAAATACCACATATAACAAATATTAGCCACTTGAGGCTATAACTCTGTGGGTCCGTGCACCCAAACTCTGTGAACCCCCAGGTCCTAACTCTGTAAACATGCACATCATAAATCACATAGAATAATGCAATGCAACACATAACACATATATAGAATACAAGCACTGTATCATAACTCTGATTACCTACTCAAGGTAAAGTATAGTGAGAAGACTCACCTCGTGTATCTCGATAAGTCGCAAATCCCTGAATCACTCGAGCTATAATCCTCCTATATACAACACATATTTCTAAGTAACACTTTCAAGACTAAGGTTGACTATCCCTACTAAGTCAACACTGGTCAACCCTGGTCAACGGTCAATGGTCAACTTTGACCGAACTCAGCGAGTGCACCAAAGCGACTCAGCGAGTCTGAGCGCATACACTGATTTCCCTGAAATCCTCACCTGACACGTTGAGTATTCTCCTAACTCGACGAGTGTCACCTGGTATGAGTTGTGGGGCTTCCACGACTCAACTCGCCGAGTCTCAAGAACAACTCGGTGAGTCCCAGCTTGACTTAGTTCACCTGTGAACCCACTCTGACTCTCCCTGACTCACTGAGTCAATCCCTCAACTCGACAAGACCACTCACTGAGTGGTGCTGGGAAATCTTCATGCTACTCCCGGAGTCTGTTCTTCGGACTCGGCGAGTTCATGCCATGCAATGACTCAAACTCACTCCTAAGGTCAGATCTGTTCCACTAACTTATAGATCCAATCCTTCCAAGTTCATTTACCACGTAAAGTCGCTATCTTGATGTACATACAACCTCTATATGACCATATATGATGAATTAGCCACAAATACCACAACTCAAGGTCATAACCTCCATTGTTCTTCATAAAGCTTGATGAATGAGGCCCTCTGGACCTCTATGGATCCAGATCCAAAGCCCCATCACTAGCAAGGGACTATTTGGCCATCAAATCAACCCAACAAAGGCCACAAGAAACCCTAAATCCAATTATACTTCACAAAACAGAAGATGAGCCGAAATCATACCTCTAGATCGATGATCTAAGCTTCAAATCCATAGTATAGCAACCTCCTTTGCTTCCTCTTGGCTAGAACCTCCTTCTCCTTTGCTAAACAACACACAAAGGTCAAGAAATGCTTCATTTCTCTCTCAAAACGTTCAAGAACTCTAGGGTTTCTCTCTATGGACTGGTGAGCACAAATGACGGCCATAAGTCCCTTTACATAGGTCTCATACCCCGGAAATTAGGGTTTCATTAAACAGCGTGGACTCGCCGAGTCCACCTTTTGGACTCTCTGAGTCCAAACGCGAACCCGCGTCCAAACCGCGATCCTACTCGGCGAGTTTGAGCTCCAACTCGCCGAGTCCCCTTACAAATCACCAAAAATACAAGAATAAAATAATACCTGGAAATCCGGGTTGTTACAATTCTCCCCCACTAGAACTAGACTTCACCCTCGAAGTCTCGCTCTGCAAATAACTCCGGATGCTGCTCAAGCATCTCACGTTCCGACTCCCAGGTCATCTCGGACCCCTTCCGATGCTGCCACTGAACCAAAACCAAGGGTACCTCCTTGTTCCTCAGAACCTTGACTTTTCGATCTCTGATTGCCACTGGTTTCTGGGCATAATTCAGACTCGCATCCACCTGAATATCCTCCAACGGAGCCACTGCCGACTCATCGGCTATACACTTCCGCAGCTGCGACACATGGAAAGTGTCGTAAATCTACCCCAATTCTGCTGGCAACTCTAAATGATAGGCTACCCGGCCTACCCTCGCGATCACTCGAAATGGACCAATGAATCGAGGTCCTAACTTGCCCCTCTTCCTGAATCGAATCAATCCTTTCCAAGGAGAGACCTTCAGGAGCACAAAGTCGCCGACCTGAAACTCAAGCTCGGACCGACGTCTATCCGCATAACTCTTCTGACGACTCTGAGCAGTCAACAACCTCTGTCTGACCTGCTGGATCTGCTCTATCGTCTAAAGCACTATCTCTGTACTGCCCATCATGTGCTGACCCACCTCTCCCTAGCAAATGGGGGTCGTGCACCTCCTCCCATACAACAGCTCAAAGGGCGGCATACCAATGCTCGAATTATGGCTGTTGTTGTAGGAAAACTCTGCCAAGGGCAAGTACGTATCCCAACTTCCCCCGAAATCCAACACACATGCCCGAAGCATGTCCTCGAGCGTCTGAATCATCCGCTCACTCTGTCCGTCCGTCTGGGGGTGATAGGCGGCACT